AAAACAAACACCAGGTCCTGCCAACTACAACCATGATCACAGCAATGGAGTTGGAAGAAGCAGAGGAAGAAGGTGAAAGGGAACATATAGCTTGCTGCCGTGTTTTGGGTAGGGGTTGCCAAGAACAAACCACTCAAATTACCAGAAAAGGTCACCCTGCTATAAATTTGGTTGTTTCAATGGCAGAATACACAATCTGCACACTTAAAATGTTTTGTTTGATTTTTAAAGAGAGGGAGAAAAAAGAGAGATAGAGAAACATTGCTTTTTTTGTCCCATTTATTTATGAATTCATTTTTTTTCTTGTATGTGCCCTGACTAGGAATTGAACCTGCAACCTTGGCTTATCAGGATGATGCTCTAACCAACTGAGCTACTGGGCCAGGGCAACAACCTGCACACTTTAAAATATGTTTTTATTGACTTAAAAAAATTTTTTTAAATTATTTATCCTCACCTGAGGACATTTTTTCATTTTTTTTTTTCCCCCATATATTGTTCAGATAAAGTCGGAGGGAGGAAGGGAGAAAGGGAAGGAGGGAGGGAGAGAGAGAGAAACATCGACGTGAAAGGGACACGTCGAGTGGTTGCCACCCACACGACCCAACCAGGGCCGGGGACAAACTGCAACCCAGGTACATGCCCTTAGCGGGAACCGAACCCGGGTCTCTCTGGACCGCAGGCCAACGCTCTAACTGCTGAGCCAAACCGGCCAGGGCCATTTTTTCATTTTTTGTTCAGATAGAGTGGGAGGGAAAGAGAGGAAGAGAGAGAGAAACATTGACGTGAAAGGGACACATCGAGTGGCTGCCTCCCGCATGACCGAACCAGGGCCAGGGACAAACTGCAACCAAGGTACATTCCCTTAGTGGGAACCGAACCCAGGTCTCTGGACCGCAGGCCGGTGCTCTAACCGCTGAGCCAAACTTGCCACGGCTGATTTTTTTTTTTGAGAGTAAAAGGAGAGAGACATTGATGTTAGCGAGAAACATTGATTGGATGCCTCCCACACGCTGCCCCCCTATTGGGGATCAAGCCCACAACCCAGGCATATACCCCACCAGGAATCAAACCTGGACTTCTCAGTCATGGCTCAATCCACTGAGCCACACTGGCCAGGCAACAACCTGCACACTTTTAAAAGGCTCTGGTATCAAAGCCAGAGCACCTTCCGACTGTCGGTAACGTGCTTGCACTCTTGTCAATCACAAAGGCAAATACTGCTTTTTCAAGCTGATTGCACTTAGTCCTCATGATGGGAACTTTCTGAGTCTCTTTAGAGCAGGCATCAACAAGCTTCCATAAAGGTCAGAAAGTATTTTAGGCTAATATTTTAGGCTTTACAGGCCATACAGCTTCTATCACAATTATTTCCTTCTGCTGTTGTAGCCACAAACTGTATATAAATGAGTGTGGCTATGTTTCAATAAATATTTATTTACAATAACAAAACAACAAAAAAGCCACTCATTTTACCAATAGGCAGTGGCAGCCCACATAGAGAAGAGCAGAATGACCAAGGCGACAACAGTCATTGAGGGCATGATCATCCTTAAAATGGAAGACAGAGGCTGCTGTCTGTGCCCAGAAATATGGAGGATAAAAGCTCCTTCAGCATTGGACCTCAGTACCATGAATCCTCCTAATTCCTGGGGTTCAAACACAGTGTCAGGAATGTCCACCTCAGGTCATCAAGATTTGTTCACTAAACAAATAAGCTAAGTCAGACCCAATTTCTGACATTCTAATTCAGAACCTAGATTATTATCTGAATTCACAACTGATTATTCAGTATGTTCCTGGTTGACTGACAACATTTTATCTACATATCCCAAAATCAGGTAACAGTATGTATCGCTGGCCATCATGTATGATAGGGCATTTGTCTGTAGGGAGGATGGGTAAGGGAAACAAAATTAATACTTAACATGATGTCTTGTGAAATGACCCCAATTTCCTTTACTACGTTGTAAGTACTACTGCTTTAATTCTGTTGTTATCAAATTGATACACTAAGACTGTTGAGGATATATTCAGGTAACTTTGATAGGACAAATATCTAACTTCCTGTTACAACATACACAGAAAGCAAAATCCTCATGTGACATTCACTCTTCAGGGCTAAGAATGTGGACAATATGATCTTGATGCTGTCCTGGGATTTTAAAAAAATTTTTAATTTTTATCCTTATCTGAGGACATTCTTGCATTCATCTTCAGATAGAGTGGGAGGAAGAGAGGGAAGGAGAGAGAGAAACACTGATATGAGAGACACATTGAGTGGCTGCCACCCACACGACTCCAACCAGGGCCAGGGACAAACTGCAACCAAGGTACATGCCCCTAGTGGGAACCGAACCTGAGACTTGTCCGCAGGCTGATGCTCTAACCGCTGAGCCAAACCAGCCAGGGCTGTCCTGGAATCTATTTTTACAAATTAAAAAAATTGATTTTAGAGAGAGACAAAGGGAGAGCGAGAGACAGAAACATCTATTTGTTTTCCACTTATTTATGAATTAATTGGTTGATTCTTGTATGTGCTCTGACTGGGGATCAAACCCGCACACGTGGCATATTGGGACGACACTCTAACCAACTGAGCTACCCAGGCCAGGGCTGTCCTGGCATTTCTTTTTTTTTTTGTTAATCCTCACCCAAGGATATTTTTCCATTGATTTTTAGATAGAGTGAAGGGGAGGGAGAGAGAGAGAGAAACATTGATGTGAAAGACATATTGACTAGCTGCCTCCTGCATGAACCCGACTGGGGCCGTGGATTGAACCTGCAACCCAGGTACATACCCTTGACTGGAATCAAATCCACAACCATTTTTTTTTGTGTGTGTGTGTGGTATGTGCCCCTAAAGGGAACCGAACCTGGGACTCTCTGGTCCATAGGCCGACACTCAACCACCGAGCCAAACTGGCCAGGGCGAAACCCACAACCCTTTAGTCCAAGGGCTAACGCTCTAACCGCTGAGCCAAACAGGACAGGGCTGTCCTGGCTTTTCCCCCCCAATTTTTTATTAATTTATTTTTGTTACATATGTTTCTCTTTTCCCCCCTTGACACCTTCCTCCTGATCCCAACCCTCCACCCCCATCCTGGCATTTTTTAACTGTTCATAGCAGTATCACTACCAAAATCACAAAGGTCAAACCATATTTAATTAATTAATTAAAGTCTTGAAACAAGGCTAGTTTGGCTTTGAGGTTCAACTATCAGTTTCTTGGGCCCCACATGGATATTTGGATGTACACCTACTACTTGGCCCTTTTGTACTGCCAGGTGACGGCAAGATTTAACTGGAACATGGATTTGTTGTAGAATGAGCTCCCTTTGGTCACTTGGAAAGAAACTGTAGGTAGAGTGGTCTATGACAGTCATTGCTAGTTCTGGCAGCCATGTTACAGAGAAGGAAATGATATAATAGTGTCAGACAGAGGATGATTTCTGCTATGCTTCATTGGCGAGTATATCTTCCCTGGCAAGGGATGTAATGGAAGACACCCTTGTACACCATCCCCAACAACTCAAAGTTGTGGTTAATTTTATGTGTCAACTTGACTAGGCCATGGGATGCCAAAATATTTAATCAAACATTATTCTGTAAGGGTGATTTTGGATGATATATATATATATGTATATATCTATATATAGATATACACACACACATACATATATACACACACACACAAATATATATACATATACATATATATATATATATTTTTTTTTAATTTCTCACCTGAGGATATTTTTCTATTTATCATCAGACAGAGTGGGAGGGAAGAAGAAAGAGACAGAGAGAAACATCAATGCGATAGAGTCACCATCAACTGGTTGCCTCCCACATGACCCCATCAGGGCCCAGGGCCGGGAGGAACCACAACTGAGGTACATGCCCTTGACTGGCATTGAACCTGAGACTCATTGGCCAGTGGGCCAACACTCTAACTGCTGAGCCAAACCGGCCAGGGCAGGATGATATTAACATTTAAAACAATAGAGTGAGTAAAGCAGAATGCCCTCCTAATGTGGGCGGGCCTTATCCAATGAGCTGAAGGCCCAAATAGAACAAAAATTCTGACTCTCCCCCAAATAAGAGGGAATTTTCCTGTCTGACTGCCTTTGAACTGGGACATCAGCTCTTCCTGGATCTTGAGCCTGACAGCCTTTGGACAGGAACTATACTATTGGCTCTTCTGGGTCTCAGGCCTTCAGACTCAGACTAGAATTAAACCATTAACTCTCCTGGGTCCACAGCTTGCCAACTCACCCTGAAGATCTTGTGACTTGCTTGCCTCCATAATTGCGTGAGCCAATTCTTTGTAATAAATCTCTTTACACACACACACACACACACACACACACACCTATTGGTTCTGTTTATTTGAAGAACCCCAACTAATACATGTGCCCAGGCCTCCTCTCTAATTTCTAAGAACTCACACCTAATCCCAACAGTGTATATGCCAAATGAGTGATATGATGGCCTGGAGCCCTGAAATGAGAGGACAAACACATGACACAAGGCTGCACTGGAAAGTCAGACATGATTTGTCAGCCTTTATTAACCAAGAGCGAAGCCAAGCCCTAGAGTTTCCTTAAAACAAAACAAAACAAAACAAAAAAAAACCCCAACCTTGGTTATGGCAAACGATTTAATCATACATTCAATACCACAGAGCAAGAATTAATCAATTTCCAATTACTTATTCTTCTGAGATTAAAACACAGTGTAAAACAGGTTAAAATAAAATTCTTCCCAATGATTTAAAAACAATTCCAATTGAAAGGCATTTCAAACACCATGTGTAGAACTCAGGACCAAAAAAGGACCTTAAAACATTTTTTACCTTTGAGGTAGCACAATAATGCTAAATTAGTTTTCTTTTATTACAATGAGCTTTAAGAAAACGAGGAATCTACCTTTTGCTCAAGGTGGGCTAAATGGTTTTCTGCAAATCCCCCATGAGGTTAGTGCCAGTTTTCTTTAAAAAAAAAAAAAAAAAAAAAATTTTTTTTTTTTAAGTATAAAGATAGCCCTGCAGTGTGTAAAAGGAAACTCATGGGAAGGCTGCTTCCCATAAAATAGACATTAGAATCATTGAGGAACGTCAGCAGTCAAGACAGGAGGAACAAGAGGTAATTGTAGTGAAAAACCAAAACAACTTGTATCTTGGCAAGATTGGTTTACAAGAGCATGTCAAGAACAAAAATTCCAACATCAGTCAACTGAAAACAAAAGATAAAAGATGACATTCATGGGTCTATTTTCTTTTTCTCTGTGCAAAAATGCTCTTTCAATTTTTCTAAACGAGAGAGGATTGTTTGTATACTTGACACAACATGGAAATGCTGTGTGCCTAGGATGCTGCTGGGCACCAGTGGCACCACTCACTGACTACTCTGCCATTGTGGGCGAGAATATGGGGGACAAGAGGATGAACACAACCTCTCCTGGGTTGGAGAACCATTTCTTGCCACTCCGCTGCCAAATTCACTCATTAAACTGCTCAAAGAAAACCTCCACCCTAGATTTCTGAGAATCTGTAGCAATTATATATAACACAATTATATATAAGGACTATTGATTAAGAGGTCAGAACACATGAATCCTTCCTTTGAGAATACAACCAAAAGAGAGTGGATGTGATACACTGGGGCCAGAAGGAAGGATACTACTGCAAGTTGGACCTCGAGACTCTCAGAACATTCTTCACCACTCAAAATCAATTAACAAAGATTAACAAAGAGATTACTTCCCAACACACACTCTGCCCCGTGAGGCTCATCCATCAGTGCAGGGCTTGCCTGGCACAATGTGGACACCAGAGCCCTGAGTTGAATTTGTCTACTACTTTTGATTCCTCATGTGGCATAGAGAATTGGAACACTGTCAGACTCCTGGTACCTTGGTAATGGCTATGTCCTATTTCACTCACACTGGTCCTTTTAACATCTCCTTCCTTCAAGCCAAACCCTCACAGGGCCCTTTATGCAGTGAGGGGCTAGACTGATGATCCATATGTCAATCTGTAACTAGAGCAGGACGATTTAAACCTCATGAATTCCACTCTGTGAAACACCAATCATCAGTGAGTTGGGGGTGTTAAAGAGGCTTCTGTGAAGGGGAAGACTAAACTGGGATGTGCAAGAGGGCAGGACGAAAAGGCCCATCCCCAGCAGCCTACAGGAGTGACTCTGGCACGGAGGTCATAGCCAGCCCTAACTAATGCTGGCATGAAGGGAGAGGGGGTGCAAAGGAGGTATCTGCTCCGTGTTTAAATAGAGTCCTCACATAGTCTGGGGCTAGCCTCTGTGTCACTCCTGAAATCCAATGTATCTGTTACCTTTGTAAGAAACTGTTGTGGTTCTTGTCAGCTAAAATGCAAGATCTGTTTTCTTCTTGTTTGATAATAAAGCAACACCATAGAAAAGACTAACCTTGAAAAATCATGGGAAAAATATGGGCTTTCCCAGTGCTAGCTGCCTGTTTTGGAGTATTAGTTACAACCTTTCACAATTCTGAGGGCTGCAATGCAGGCTACTAGGGCAGTTTGAAAAGAGTCCTGCTGCTTTTACTTCATGGAGCACAAGAAAAAGGGAGAATTGACCAAGGTTGTGGTGAGTCACCACTCTGGAAATCTCCTGACCACACTGTGGCAAAAAATAGAGAGAATGGCTTATGTGAACAATGAAAGGTGACCTTGTGGGTTCCATCATTATCCACAGTAGGAATGACTCAAGCCCTAGCATGTAATCTCTTAGGAATTTATTGAGCTATACAAGTTTTTAAAAAATCATATTGGAAAAGACCTCTTGATTTTTTTTTCCCAATGAGGGGCAAGGAAAGCATTTTTAATGGATGGTGATAGAAGAACAAGATATCCAATTGGAAAAATAGTAAGACTCAACCTCTATTCCACCCCAAATACAAAAAGGACCTCTGCGTTTAATATAAACTTGGCTACAGTGCAAATTTCACACTGCTCTTAAGATTACTTGTAACATCTGATTTTAAGTCATTCTGAAGAAAAAGTTTCATTCTGAAATATATCTAGTTAATTAGGATAATTCATCAGAATTCTACCTGATATAATTGAAAGGTTAAAAAAGTTTTAAAATAAAAGCTAAATTACTTTCCTTTGGGATTAACAATGGGAACACCAAATATCCTAACATCTTAATTAGAAAGGTCTTCGCATTAATTCTATAAAATTGTAAATGATGCCAATTTTTTAAAACTAACAAAAAGAGTTGATCTTTAGGATAAATGCCTGAGTCAGCTGACAAACGGATATATATATGTACATGAATATATCCAAGGAGAATCTTAAGTAGAGAAGTGTTTTCTTAAAAAAAAAATAGCTGCTTTGTCTTTGAAGAGTTTAAAAATTGATGGTTCAACAGCAAAGCTATGTGATAAATCTGGAGTAGAAGGAAAAGGCTCTCTTTGTAGTATAACCTCTTGCCAACACATTGCCATTAGCCAGTAGAGGCAACTGGAAACAAGGGATGACGGTTATTATCCAGGAAAGTATTTGGGTCAGATAAAGTGATGGCACCTCTAGACCCTGGCTCCTTATAAATGGACAGCAATTTATTCACGCAAATTGCACAGAGATTAAACAAAACAAAATCTACTAAAACAAAACAAAAACCCCAACCCAGAAAACTTTCCCTCTCTGCTACTTGAAGAATGTACCAAACCCACATTTTCTGCTCTAACATGGGTCCTAATGATTGATTAGTGTGCACTGGGGTGCTGACCTACTGGGTCCTGGGCAGGGCCATCCCCTAAGCATCACTGTGAGTTTGGAGACAGCTGTCATGTGTGCAGCTTTTAGCAGACAGTACAATGCCATAGGACCACAAACCTCCATCATATCTGCCACCATTTTCCACTGTCAACCCAAAGGCTGCAACTGTGAACAAATGTGGACTTACTCAAAGGACAAATGAGTAGATCAAAGGCTACAGTGTTTCCTCCCTTGAAAAAGGTGGGGGGAAGGGTGTCTACAGTTATACAACAGGCTTGCAGACCTGTGGTAACTTCTGAAAGCAATAGTAGCAGCAGGAGAGGAAAGGAAGATGTTTACACTTTGGACTTTGTATCAGGCACTTAAATTGTTGGAGAGACATGCCATTTTGAACCAAAGATGTGAAACTGGGTTGAAATAATCATTACAAGTAATCTAATAATGGGCTTTCAGAATCAAAATGGAGGTGCGTGTTGAACCGCTACCCATCCTTTAGTGCTGACTTTCAAGTTTTCTAAATGCCCATGGCCATAGCAATGGCAGCTGTGGTAGCAACAGCAGGAACAGTTCTGTCGTGTCTGCTTTCTGTGTGTGCTCTGTGGCTGACCATAAGGTTTTGGTGTCACACTGAGAAAACTCTGGGGTGTGGCACACCTACTGCCCAGGATCGATCAGATCCAAGCTGGAGCCAAACATCTTCACCAGCTGTTCCTCGTAGTGTGAGATGTTCCTCTTCATGATGTCCATGCAGGGCCCCAGAAGCCTCTCAAATGCTTGTACATCCATTACTGCATTGTTAAAAGAGATGAGGGAAGAGAATGAATTCTATACCAATGATTCAAAGTCATTTCCTTCATGCAAACCTTTCCTTAAATATATACACTCACATTATACGATATTAGACTTTGAGATATTGGGCACTTGGGAAAAGGAGTGATGTTTCTTTTCTTTTTTTTTTTTTACATTCATATTCAGATAGAGCAGGAGGGAGAGAGGGAGAATCATCAACATGACACAGACATATAGAGTGGTTGCCACCCACACGACCCCAACCGGGCCAGGGACAAACTGCAACCAAAGTACATGCCCTTAGCAGGAACCGAACCCGGGACTCTCTGGTCCGCAGGCCGATGCTCTAACCGCTGAGCCAAACTGGCCAGGGCAGGAGGGATGTTTCTATGTGAACACAGCAGGATTGTGTCATCTAAGTTTGAGATTTTGCAGAGTCCAGTAGCACCTGTTTCTCTCTGTCTCCACACAATCTTGGACACTTGCCTCCTCTATTCACACTGCCAGGGTGCCTGTATGCCTGTCTTGTTCACAGGCTACAGTCAGTGCCCAAAAACGTTTGTGAATAGAAAATATTCATGCCCTGGCTAGTTTGGCTCAGCAGTTATAGAGTGTTGGCCCGCAGACCAATGAGCCGCAGGTTCGATTCTGGTCAAGGGCACGTACCTCAGTTGCTGTTTGTCCCTGGCCCTGGTCGGGGTCCTGCTGGAGGCAACCAGTCGGTATGTCTCTCTCACATCAGTTTCTTTCTGTCTCTCTCTCTCTCTCCCTTCCCCTCCTACTCTATCTGATGATAAATAAAAAGTATCCTCGGATGAGGAATAAAGCTATATATTCATTCATTTCTGGTTGGTAATACAAACTGCCCAAGCCTAGCTGTTAGAACTGATGAAATTAACCAAGGCTTGCTGATAAGGAAAACAAAAAACAAAAAAACAACAACTGCATGATAGAAAAATGTATTAATGCATAAAGAGTTTTTCTTACCTAAGCACTTGACATCTCCCACAGCATAAGCAGAAGCAGCTCTGGGTTTGTTGGTCACCAGTGCAAGCTCTCCAAAGTATTGCCCCTTATGGCAGCGGGCAATCTCGACCTCCTGGTTCCCATCATCCTTGTTTGTTTTAGTCTAGAGCAAGTAGAGAACATAAACCAGGCTGACTCCAAAATCAAAGTGGGGCATATGAGTTTGGAGACTGATGCTGCACACACTTGAATTTCCTTTTTAGTACGAGTATCACAATTACTGAGAAATTCACTTTGTAGAGACTCTTAACTATACCATGTAAACTACATGGGTTAATCTCAGTGGCATGGTTTAATCAGAAGACTTGGCTTTCACCTGGGACTTCGTCTGAGTCCTACTACCTTTCAGGTAATAATAACTAAATATCAAGAGGTAAGGTGCAGACAATTATCTTTTGAAGATTTATATGTATATTATAATATGCTTTATATTAATATATTATAATTAATATACAGTTAATACACCACATAATTATAGTATATTTTATAGTTAATAATATAATATATAACATTATATTATAATGTTACTATATGTTAAGATATAATAATATATATTTTATACATATATATGATTCTCAGTTTGGCACAGGGAAAGAAAAGGACAACATTTAAATAATGTCAATGTTTTTCTTAGGTAAAGAGTCAGAATCCTGGGCTGATACATTTAAAAAAAATTTTAACTTATCTTTATTGTTGAATGTATTACAGATGTCCCCCATTTTTTCCCCATTGATCCCCTTCCCCAATCCCACCCCCCCTCCTGCCCTCCCCACACTATTGTTTGTGTCCATTGGTTATGCATATATGCTTAGAAATTCTTTGGTTTAAATCATCCTGACCTCCCTCCCCCCTTCTCTTTGAGAGTCATCAGTCTAACACCCAATTTGCACTTCTTAATTTCTTCATCTTTTTCACCCATCCCTCCAGCCCCCACCCATCTGGCAAGCAACAAAAAGTTCTCTGTATCTATGAGTCTGTATCTGTTCTGCTGCTCATTTTGTTAGTAGAGTCAATTGTTAATAGATATGTATTAATTGCCATTTTATTGTTCATATTTTTGTTGTTCTTCTCCTTCAAGAAGACCCTTCAATATTTCATATAATCCTGGTTTGGTGGTGATGAACTCCTTTAGCTTTTTCTTTTCTGGGAAACTCTTAATATATACGTTGATTCTAAATGATAGCTTTGCAGGATAGAGTAATCTTGGTTGTAGGTTCTTGCTTTTCATCACCTTGAATATCTCTTGCCACTCCTTTTTGGCCTGCAGTTTCTTTTGAGAAATCAGCTCACAGTCCTTTAGGAGCTCCTTTGTAGCTAACGAACTGCTTTTCTCTTGCTGCTTTTAAGATTCTTTCTTTGGCGTCGGCCTGCGGTCCTGAGAGACCCGGGTTCGGTTCCCGCTAAGGGCGTGTACCTCGGTTGCAGTTTGTCCCCGGCCCTGGTAGGTTGTGCGGGTGGCAGCCACTTGATGTGTCCCTTTCACATCGATGTTTCTCTCTCTCTCACTCTGTTCCTCTCTCTCCCTCCCACTCTACCTGAACAAAAAATGGAAAAATGTCCTCGGGTGAGGATAAAAAAAAAAAAGATTCTTTCTTTGTGCCCTGGCAAGTTTGGCTCAGCGGCAGAGTGTCGGCCCGCAAACCAATGAGTCATGGGTTCAATTCCAGCCAAGGGGACATGCCTTGGTTGCAGTTCCTATGGAAAAATATCCTCGGGTGAGGATTTAAAAAAAAAAAAAAAGATTCTCTGCCTTTAACTTTGGCATTTTGATGATGATGTGTCTTGGTGTGGACCTCTTTGGGTTCATCTTCTTTGGGACTTTGTGCTTCATGGACTTGTATATCTATTTCCTTCACCAAGTTAGGGAAGTTTGCTGTCATTATTTTTTCAAATAAGTTTACAATTTCTTGCTCTCTCTCTTCTCCCTCTGGCACCCCCATGATGCAAATGTTGGCACACTTGAAGTTGTCCCAGAGGCTCCTTACACTATCCTCATTTTTTTAGATTCTTTTTCTTTTTGCCATTCTGATTGGATGGTTTTTGCTTCCTTATATTCCAAATCGACAGTTTACTTCTTGGCTTTATGTACTCTACTACTGATTCCCTGTAAATTATTCTTTATTTCAAAACCGGGACTCTCTGGTCCACAGGCTGATGCTCTGTTGAGCCAAACTTGCCAGGGCCTGACCTGTCCTTTTTTATGTTGTTGATGTTCTAAGTTCCTTGGAGTTCTCACTAAGTTCCCCAAAGTTCTAAGTTTCTTGAGCATCCTTATAACCCGTGTTTTGACCTCTGCATCTGATTGATTGCTTATCTCCATTTTGTTTAGTTCTTTACCTGGAGTTTTTTTCTGTTCTTTCATTTGGGACATATTTGTCTCCTCATTTTGACTGCATCCCTGTGTTTGTTTCTACGTATTAGGTTGAGTTGCTATGTCTCCTAGGCTTCATAGGGTGGCCTGTTGTTGTAGGTATCCTGTAGGATCCAGTGGTACAGCCTCCCTGATCACCCAGTAGGGCCCTCGAGGTGTACCCCCAGTGTGCACCCCCAGTGTGGATTGTACACCCTTCTGTTGTAATTAAGTTCTGATTGCTGTTGGCACATCAATGGGAGGGTTTTACTCAGGCTGATCAGCTGCAAGGATTGACTGTGCCCACTGACCCCTGGCTTCTGACTACCTTGGAGGATCAGCTGTGTAAGGGCCCACCACACAGAACAAGACTTACTTCAGCAGGGTTCTGGTACCCACTGAGTCCACTCATTGAGTGTGTCACTTGTAGAGGTAGTTGGGTGATGGTGTTTTGATGTGATCTGAAGCTCTCCACTGGGTGTGCTGGCTCTGGGGCAAGGTCAGCCACTGCCTGTGTCCTATCCGGGGCCACCCGGCATAAGCTACAAAGTGATCTGCCAATGGCTGCTTCTTGTGCTGGGCTTGGAAAAGCCAAGTTGTGAACCAAGGCTGGCTGCTTCTAGTGCCAGGCCTGGGGCCACTTAGCGAGAGGTATGGGGCTCTCTGAGACCAGATGCTGCCTGCTTGAGAATTTTAGGAAAATCTGAAGCAGGATACAAGACAGACCAATCCCATAGTAAAGCCATTGGAAACAGTTTGGGTGGGCCCAAAATTTGGGTGGGGCGGTGACTCAGGGAATCACTAGGGCGGGACCAACAATGTAAACCAGGTTGCTGGAGTTCTAGCTGCCCAGGGAAAGGGCTCTGCAAAGGAACAAAGGCCTCTGCACGTCTGTCTGGGAGAAAGCTGCCCCTCCAGCCCTCATCCTGAGGGTAAACAGCTTAGTTTTTCCCGTTTGTTTCTGGTGCCTTTTAAGTTGCTTCCCCTCAGAGCACAGAGGGAGCAAGTCCAGTAAATCCGAGCTCAAGCCCTTTAAGAGAAACTGGTTGGGGCTCCAGCAGCCTCAGCCCCCCTCACTCTCAGTTCCCGCTGGATTTTACAGCCAGAAGTTATGGGGACTTCTCCTCCTGGCACTGGAACCCTGGGCTGGGAGCCTGGTGTGGGACAAGGACCCCCTACTCCTCAGGGAGGACCTTTACAGCTGAGGTATCCTCCTGATTGAGGTATCCTCCTGATTTTTATCTGCCATGTGTGGGTGTGGGACCAACCTGTCCACACCTCCAACCCTTCTACCAGTCTTTTTTTTTATCCTCACCCGAGGACTTTTTCCATTTTTTGTTCAGATAGAGTGGGAGGGAGAGAGAGGAACAGAGAGAGAGAGAGAAACATCGACGTGAAAGGAACACATCGAGTGGCTGCCACCCGCACGACCGACCAGGGCCGGGGACAAACTGCAACCGAGGTACGTGCCCTTAGCGGGAACCGAACCCGGGTCTCTCTGGACCGCAGGCCGATGCTCTAACCGCTGAGCCAAACCAGCCAGGGCTAGTCTTGATGTGGTTTCTTTAATTTCGTAGTTGTAGGACTTCCATTCAGCTTGATTTCAGGCGGTTTTGAATGATGGTTGTTCTGTAGTTTAGTTGTAATATTGATGTGGGCTGCTACATTTTGATTTAAGACCATGCCTTTCTTGGACAAAACTTCACAGTGACAAATTTTATTTTGAGATACTGCCCACTTCTTAAGTTAGTGGTCCCCTCTCACATTTTAAAAAGAAGAATTAAAGCCCTGGCTGGTTTGGCTCAGCGGTTAGAGCATCGACCTGCAGTCCAGAGAGACTCGGGTTCAGTTCCCGCTAAGGGCATGTACCTCGGTTGCAGTTTGTCCCCGGCCCTGGTTGGGTTGTATGGGAGGTAGCCACTCGATGTGTCCCTTTCACATCGATGTTTCTCTCTCTCTCTTCCTCTCCCTCCTATTCTATCTGAACAAAAAATGGAAAAATGTCCTCAGGTGAGGATTAAAAAAAAAAAAAGGTGAAAAGAAGAATTAAGTAACTAAATATTTTTAAAAATAATTCCCAACCTTGAAATTTGGTGGTTTAATTCTGTATTAAGAAATCAAGCAGTAATTGTGTTCACAACCGCCGTCACTCTCTAACACCTGCGCTGCCTCAAGCTCCGGGAGCTCCAGCCGGAGAAGGGGGGTCAATAAAGAGGTCTTTATACCATGGCTCCTACAAAGCCGACTGCCCACAAATCCACCGGTAGTAAAGCACCAAGGAAAAAACTGGCTACCAAAGTGGCTCGCAAGAGTGCGCCCTCTACTGGAGAGGTGAAGAAACCTCATCATTACAGGCCTGGTACCTGGCACTTTGTGAAATTAGACGTTATCAGAAGTCCACGGAAGTCCACCGAACTTCTGATTTGCAAACTTCCCTTCCAGTGTCTGATGCGATAAATTGCTCAGGACTTCAAAACAGATCTGTGCTTCCAGAGTGCAGCTATTGGAGCTTTGCAGGAGGTAAGTGAGGCCTATCTGGTTGGCCTTTTTGAAGGCACCAACCTGTGTGCTATCCGTGCCAAACGTGTAACAATTATGCCAAACGACATCCAGCTAGCACGCCGCATACGTGGAGAATGTGCTTAAGAATCCACTATGATGAACAATATTTCATTCTTTAAAAAAAATTTTTTCTTCCTGTTATTGGTAGTTCTGAACGTTAGATATTTTTTTTCCATGGGGTCAAAAGGTACCTAAGTATATGATTGCAAGTTGAAAATAGGGGGCAGAAATCAGGTATTGGCAGTTTTTCCATTTTCATTTGTGTGTGAATTTTTAAAATATAACTGCGGGGACATAAGGCATTAATGCAAGTCAAAATGTTTCAGTGAACAAGTGTCAGCAGTTCAACTTTATAACAATATAAATAAACCTGTTAAATTTTTCTGGACAATGCCAGCATTTGGATTTTTTAAAAATAAGTAAATTTCTTATTGATGACAACTAAATGGTTTTGTAGCACTTTTATCATACAGTAGATTCCATCCATTCACTATACTTTTCTGAGTTGTTCTACATGCAAGTACATGTTTTTAATGTTGTCTGTCTTCTGTGCTGTTCCTGTAAGTTTGCTATTAAAATACAATAAACTATAAAAAAAAAAAAAAAGAAATCAAGCAGGTTGTAATTCATGCTTATCAGATTACTGAAAATAATAAATAATGTACTATATTGTATTTAAAATATCTAGAGTTTCCTTTTTTTTTTAATCCTCACCCAAGGATATTGTTCGATATTCTGTTCAGATAGAGTAGGAGGGAGAGAGATAGACAGAGAAACATCGACGCAAAAGGGACACATCGAGTGGCTGCCACCCACACGATCCAACCAGGGCCGGGGACAAAACTGCAACCGAGGCACGTGCCCTTAGCGAGAACCGAACCAAGGTCTCTCTGGACCGCAGGCCGACGCTCTAACCGCTGAGCAAAACCGGCCAGGGCTAGAGTTTCCTTTTTTTAAAAAAAATTCCTTTGCTAAGCTAAGCAATGACTTGTTTAAGTAAATAATTATTTAGTATTTATTAGTAAGAATTAGCCTCAAATCTCTAAGAGCCCCTTTATGTTATGGGCAGATAGATATTTTTTGTGACACATTGGCTTACATGGCTTGACCATTCCTCCTTTCACACTTTTGTCCTGACCAGTTTGCTCTTAAGTCAATCTGCTCCATTCAATCCAACACTTTCTTTCCTATTTCTGTAACATTCTCTGGGACTATGGACATGTTGGTGTCCACCTACTCTCTTCTGTAGAATATCACTTACCATACTGTCATACCAATATCAGACCCCTGGGATTTTGTTTCATTGCAGATTCTGATAGGGTAGGTCTGAGCCCCAGACACTGCATTTCTGACAAACTCCCTCAATCCCCCAGTGCCATAGTACTCCTTGGTCCTACACACCTAACACTATGCTGTCTGGCAATGAATACCCGAGAAATGAAAAAAAAAAAAAAAAAAAAAAACCAAACCCGAGAAATGTACAAACATATATAAGTAGTCCAAAACTGTAAGTGAAAGAACACGGAAGTTTCAAACTATTGTTTCATGTGAAACAACAAATCTATTTTATTTTTTTCCCTTTATTGATTTTAGAGAGAGAGGAAGGGAGAGGGAGAGATAAAAACATTGATGAGAGAGAACATCAACTGGCCACCTCCTGCATGCCCCACACTGGGGATTGGGCCCACAACCTGGGCATATGTCCTGACTGGGAATCGAACCGGTGACCTCTTGGTGCATGGGTCGATGCTCAACCACTGAGCCACACTGGCCGGACAACAGATCTATTTTTAATCAGGAATCAAGCCATCTTATAAGTAGTTACCATATTTTTCTTTCTTTCTCTATTCTTAACTTTTAATAAAGATGCCTTACAGGAGGTTTTATACTTGTTTGATTTATAGTATTAGATATAACTCACTATTTTGGCAAATTCTATATTCTTAAAAAAACTGAAACAGGGAAATCTGGTGATGACATATATATGGTAAGAATCACTCCTCCCTATAGTCATCAGATTTCTAGGTCTCCCTATAACATCAAATGGCCATAATAATAGCCATAATACTAATTAACCTAGGGACCTCACCTCCCAGAGCTCTAAAAATGAAGCTATTTTCATATTCAACACCCACCTGTATTTTTTAATTATATAATTCCTCCATTTTTCTATTAGTATGTTTATTTTTTAATTGATTTGTAGGCCAGTATTTCTCATATCATTGATTACACAACAGAGGCAAAGGCAATAGGGACAAGAAGAAATACACAAAATCTCTATCAATGGATGGGCTTAAACATGGGTCTTTGCCAGTCACATACCTCACCTAACAATGATGGTTTTGGTTCACTAAACACAATTCATGTTATTTAAAGCAGACAGTTACTTTCTGTGCATACATACACGTGGTATCTGGACCTTCCCTGGAATAACTTGCATCGTCACATGCAAACTCACCTTGCTTTTAATCAAGATGCTCACTTCACCGGACTCTATAATGTAAAAGCAATCAGCTTTTTCACCCTGAAAAGGGAAAAGAAGTCAGGAACATATGTATTGAAGAGGGACACAAAAGTAGATCATTTTGTTATTGTCTGAACTCTGATTTGTATTTATTTTCCAACTTTACAAATCAATCAATAGCTAACAAATTCAGAACAAAATGAGAGTATCCTGATCACAGGAGATGTCAGTCCAATATAACTGACACAAAGCTCTTGTTTCCTAACTTGGAATATTCACATTTTCCTCCATGAATATGCCCAGGCTCCAACTGCACAGAGCATTGTTATTCTTTTTTTTTTCCTTAATTCTCACCCGAGGATATTTTTTTTTCTACTTATCTTTAGAGTGGGAGGGAGGGAGAGAGAGAAACATCTAGAGGAGAGAGACTCATTGACTGGTTGCCTCCTGCACAACTCTGACCTGAGCCGAGGACGAACCGCAACCTAGGTATGTGCCCTTGACAAGATTCAACCCCTTGACTCTTGGGTCTGTGGGCCGACGCTCTAAGCGCTGAACCAAACCAGCCAGGGCACAGCATTGTTATTTTTACTGCTTATGTTGGTTGGCTACTGAGACCTATGACAAGCAATCAGTAGCAAAGGCTGCTACAGACAGTATCAAGATGACTCCTGGCTATCCCTGGGTCATGGGGCCCAGGGATAATTTCTTTTTTCTTTATTGATTTTAGAGAGAGAGAAGGGGGGGGGGGAGATAGAAACATTGACGAGAGAGGATATCGACTGGCCGCCTCCAGCATGCCCCCCATGGAGATTTGGCCCACAACCTGGGCATGTGCCCATACCGGGAATTGAACTGGCGACCTCTTGGTGCATGGGCTGACGCTCAACCACTGAGCCACACCAGCTGGGCCCAGGGATAATTTTGATCACCAAATGTAGCCCTCTGGAAGACAGTGTGGGTCTGGTGAAAACCCTGCCATGATGAGGAAGGTGCTTTGATGTGGGCTGATGTCACCCTTATGAGCCTCAGGCTTTCCTTTCGCTTGTTTTGATTTTAACCCATTTACCTGAACTAGTCATTCAGGTAATTCAACAAATAATTAAGTACTTACTATGTGCCAGGCACTGTTCTATTCAAGGCATGTAAGATGCATCAGTGGACAAAACAAATATCCCTATCCTTGTGAAACTTATAGTCTGGTAGCATGAACAAACTGTAAACAATCAACATAATAATCAGTAAATTATATTGTTGTGTTGGAAGGCCATAAGTACTACAGGAATGGGGACTTAAGGTAGGAATCTCGAAGTACTGCAGATCATCAGAGATGCAGGAAAATTTCTAGCAAGTACCTGGGTTGCAGGTGTGATCCCTGGCCCCAGTCAGGACACATATGGGAAGCAACCAATCAATGTCTCTCTCTCACATTGATGTGTGTGCCTCCCATCTCCCCCTTTCTTTTTCTTTTTTTCTTTTTTATCCTCACCGGAGGATATTTTTCCATTTTTTGTACAGATAGAGTGGGAGGGAGAGAGATGAAGGGAGAGAGAGAGAAAAACATCGACGTGAAGGGACACATCGAGTGGCTACCATCCGCACGACCAACCAGGGCCGGGGACAAACTGCAACCGAAGTACGCGCACTTAGCGGGAACCGAACCCGGATCTCTCTGGACCGCAGGCCAACACTCTAACCGCTGAGCCAAACTGGCCAGGGCCCATCTCCCCCTTTCTAAAAAATCAATGGAAAAAATATCCTTGGGCCCGGCCAGTGTGGCTCAGTGGTTGAGCATCAACCCATGCACCAAGAAGTCGCTGGTTCGATTTCCGGTCAGGGCACATGCCCAGGTTGTGGGCCCGATCCCCAGTGTGGGGCATGCAGGAGGCAGCCAGTTGATATTCTCTCTCATCGATGTTTCTATCTCTCTCTCCCTCTCCCTTCCTCTCTCTCTAAAATCAATAGTGAAAAAAACTAAAATAAAAACTACTGTTATAGATTATGCCTGCCTTTTAGAAAAGAAAAGAAAAAGAAAAAATATCCTTGGGTGCGGATTAACCAAAAAAAAAAAAAAAGAAAAAGTGGTTTGTAGAGATTTAGATATGCTGCAAGTATAAAAGACACTTCAGATTTTGAAGACTGAGTTATTCCTTCCAAAAAAGGAATGTAAAATATCTCATTATTAAACTTTTATATCACTTATATGTTGAAGTGATACTATTTTAGATATATTAGGTTGAATAAAATATATTAAAATTAAGTTCATCTGTTGTTGTTTTTTTAATTGGCTACTGAAAGCATTTTAAATTACATATGTGGTTCACATATTTCTGTTGAATAGTGCTGGCCTAGAAGTAAACAAGCTTTGAATAGCTGAGCCAGGGAAGTGGCAATGGGATGTAGATGATATCTCATTATCTTTAAGCCATGTGTTTCCACAAGATGAAATAGGTGCCTTTATCTCAGATCTGTTCTAAAGATTAAGGCAGACACCTTCCTGAGTTCCTAGATGTTATTGGTGTCACTCTCTGCATCTCCATAGGTATTTTGGTAGGAGATTAAAGAAGCTGCATGGAGGGCAGCTAATCAGACACCATATTAAATTGCAAGCCTCTTGGTTCTTTGTGCCCTTAATTAATGTTGTCATTATCAGTACAGTTTTCTAAACTAGAAATTTACCATGACTTCCTCCTTTCTCCTCTTATCCAATGAATACATCAAATTTACTTCAGAAATATTCTCACATTTGACCTTTATTCAGTCTACTCCAATTGCTACTCCTTAGCTCACAACTACAAAATAGTATAGCCATTTTATTATATTTTATTTATTTTTTGTTATTCCTCACCTGAGAATATTTTTCCATTGATTTTTAGATAGAGCAGAAGGGAGGGAGGGAGAAACACTGATGTGAGAAAGACACATCGATTGGTTGCATCCCGCACAACCCTGACCAGGGCTGGGGATCGAACCTGCTACCCTGGTACATGACCTTGACAGGGGATCAAACCCTCTATCCTTAGGTCCTTGGGCCCACACACTAACTGCTCAGCCAAACCAGCCAGGGCAATAGTATAGCCATTTTAAAAACAATGCAGCAGGCCCTGGCTGGTTTGGCTCAGCGGTTAGAGCATCGGCCTGGGGTCCAGAGAGACCTGGGTTCGGTTCCCACTAAGGGCATGTACCTTGGCTGCAGTTTGTCCCCGGCTCTGGTTGGATTGTGCGTGTAGCAGCCACTTGATGTGTCCCTTTCACATCGATGTTTCTCTCTCTTCCTCCCTCTCCCTCCCATTCTGTCTGAACAAAAAATGGAAAAATGTCCTCGGGCGAGGATAAAAATAAATAAATAAATAAAAATAAATTTAAAAAAATAATAAAAACAATTCAGCAGTTTGCTAAACATATATTTGCCATGTGACTCAGCAATTCCATAAAAACATGTCCACACAAAGACTTGTATAGGAATGTTCATTGTAGCTTTATTCATAATTCAAAAACTGGAAAGACCCCAATGTCCCTCAACTGGTGAACAGAATTGTGCTATATCCATGCAACTAAATACTACGCAGCAATACTACTGAGAAATACTACTCAAAAAAGGAATGATCTGCTGATATAAACAACATGGATAAATCTCAAAAACACAGGCTAAGAGGAAGAAGTCAAACACAAAAGACTATCCATTATATGATTTCATTTATATGAAATCTTAGAAAAGGAATGTGTATAGTGATAGAAGGCAGATCAGTTTTTTCCAGAAGTAAAGGGGTTGGGGAGGGGACTGACTGCAAACACAAATGAGAGAACTTACTTGGAGTGATAGAAATGCCGTATGCTATGATTATAGGGGTATTATAAAATTCTTGAATTGTAACTTAAACTTGGTAATTTTATTGTATATGAAACATATAATATGTATCAAAGCTGACCCAAACAACACAAAGCACATTTTCTGATTTAAGAAGTCTGGGGTAGAACCCAAGAACTTGCATTTCTAATAATTCCTAATAACATCAACCATTCCCAGATGATGCTGATGCTGCTGGTCCTGGGACCCCACTTAGAGAAACGTTGGTCTAGAGACACTGCTAAAAGGGGTCTATAATAAGTATATTAATTCATGTCCATTCTGCACCACCAGCTAGCACTCCTATCTTCAAGAACGCAGACACCCCAGAAAACACTGTGGCTTCTCATACCTCTTGATATACCTCCTGAAGGCCTGGGGCTTTCAGGATAAAGTAGAGGTCCTCTGGGGTAAACTAAAACACCTCAGGTTCAGAAACAAATGTAGTCTGTCAACATGTGCCATTCCTGCAATTTGGCACTGCATTCTTACCATATTAGGATAACTACCCTGGAATTCAGCTCATGCCCACATGCCCTTGCTCATATTGTTCTCTTGCCCCTAAAAGACCTCTCCCTGAGCTCAACTGCTGAAATTGCACTTATTCTGTAAGCCCAGCTTAAATGGCATTTCCTTCATGAAACCATATGGAGTACTTGTTTTTCTATATTCTCACTGTCATTTATATGAAACTTTATTATAGAGCTTATATCTGGTCGTACTTGTCTATCTTAATAAATGTTTATAGAATCAAACCAATTTCTAATTTAAAAAATTAACTTCTAATTAAAAGAAAGCAAAAGCTTTAGAGATGCCACTTAGAGTAAATAAATTTTCATTTTTTTTAAAAATAGATTTTAGAGAGAGGAAGGTAGGGGAGAGAGAAACATCAATCAGTTGCCTCCCACATGCACCCCAACAGGGGATCGAACCCACAACCTGGGCATGTGCCCTGACCAGGAACAGAACTGGTGACCCTCTGGTGCACAAGAAGACACTCTACCAATTGAGCCACACCAGCCAGGGCTCACAAAGATTTTGTTTTTAGTCCTTTTTCTCTGAAAGTTTTTTTCTCTTTCTCCTTCTGTGATAAACCTGTTTAGTCCCTGTGGTGCTGGTTGGGCGAACTTCACCCACAGGCCTGAGGGGTGCACCTGGGACTCAAGACTTGACCAATCTGAGTCTTTCCTCCTCCTAGCCTCAGCTCTGGGTTCAAGGATGGACACAACACTCAACCCAAACCAATTAGATATCTTTCCAGTGCTCTTGCCAGAACCACAGGCAGAGAAGTATATACTTGGCAAAGTCTGGAATACTTTTTAAAATATAGGCACACCTCATTTCATTGTGCTTCATGTTACTGCACTTCACAGGTATTCTGTTTTTTGTTATTTTTTTATCTTCAGTTGAGGACATTTTTCCATTTTTTGTTCAGCTAGAGTGGGAGGGAGAGAGAGGAAGACACACACAGAGAGAAACATCAATGTGAAAGGGACACATTGAGTGGCTGCCTCCCGCATGACCCCAACCAGGGCCAGGAACAAATCACAACCAAGGTACATGCCCTTGACCAGAATCAAACCCATGACTCAGTGGTCCGCGTGCCGACGCTCTTAACTGCTGAGCCAAACCGGGCAGGGCTAAAGTATTTTTTAATTAAGGTATGTGCATTGTTTTTTAGACATAACGCTATTGCACACTTAACAGAATACAGCATAGTGTAAACATAACTTTTATATGCACTGGGGAACCAAAAAATTCACATGACTCGCTTTATTGTGATATTATAGCGGTGGTCTGGAAACAAACCTATAATGTATCTGAGGTATGCCTATAATTATGAGACTGTTGCACTACTTACTGTGCTAACAAGACACAGTGCAAACAGTAGACAAGAAAAATTATTACACAGTACTCATCACAATGATCCAGTGCACTGTATTGTGATCCTTAAAATACCCACAAATAATATGAGAAAAAGGCACAAAAGAATACTAAAGACACCTTATAAATCTGCTCATTCACTGAAGAGTGAAGACTCTGGTTTGTGTTGGATTAGCTAAGAGGCTACCCTCGTGCAAAACAGAAAGAAAAAGGGCACGACTCTTTAAACTTCCCCAGGTGTTAACATCCATGAATGAAGTTTACTCAGAGTCAAAAGAAAATGACATCCAAAAGAACAAACACCAGCCCTGGCTCGTTTTGCTCAGCAGTGAGAGCACTGGCCTTTGGATTGAAGGGTCGCGGGTTCAATTACCAGTCAAGGGCACATATCTGGGTTGCAGGTTTGATCCCCAGCCCTGGTTAGGGTTGTGCAGGTGGCAACCAATCAATGTGTCTCTCACACATCAATGTTTCTCTCTCTAGCTCTCCTCTTCTTTCCCTGCCTTGTACTCTCTCTAAAAAGCAAAGGAGTCTTGGCCGGTTTGGCCCTGTGTTTAGAGCATCGGTCTTTGGTCCAGAGAGGCCCGGGTTCAGTTCCTGCTAAGGGCACGTACCTTGGTTACAGTTTGTCCCCGGCCCTGGTTGGGTCGTGTGGGAGGCAGCCACTCGATGTGACCCTTTCATGTCGATGTTTCTCTCTCTCTCTCTCTCTCTCTCTCCCCCTCCCACTCTGTCTGAACAAAAAAATGGAAAAACGTCCTCAGGTAAGGATAAAAAACTAAAATTAAAAAAAAAAAAAAAAAAGCAATGGAAAAAATATCCTCAGGTGAAGATGATCAAATAAATAAATAAATACGAACGAACAAACACACACCAGAAGTCAAGCAAAGGTGAATGAAGGCAATAGATCTGCATGTCAGTGAGATGAACATCACTGGGTTTCAGAAGATCTGCAGAAAGTATGCCCTAGTATCTATCTTGCAACTTGAGTTCCCAAAAGTGAAAAGACAAATGATGCATCCCCCCTCACCTGAGTGATTATGCGCTCTCCATCCTTATAGCTCTTCTCTGCTATTACATCCACAATCTTCATTCGTTCTGACACCTGAAACAACAGACATACTCACAAATTACAAAGAAAAGATCTCAACTAAAGGTCACAAATAATATCTACACAACACAGAAATAAGTTAAAATAGTTTGATTTGAAAACCTAATAACAGAATAATTTTAATAGCTTTTCTTAAACCCCCATAAACAGTCTTATTCAAATAGACTTTACCTCTAGTGATTTAAGGAGGGGCACAGATTCAATAAATGATTCAAACATCTTCCGCTTTTTTGCATTGTTTTTCACTATGATTCTTCTGAAAGTCATACGGTCCTACAAAAAAGAATATGAAAATTCTGGTAAATGACTGTAAGAGAATACCTATGGTTTAATTAACTGGGCCATAGCAAATATTAGAGGACTATGAAAGGTACTAAGTCAGATATTTCTTTTTATTTTTAAATTTTTATTTTATTGTTGAGAGTATTACAGATGTCCCCCATCCCCCCACCGAAGCCAGATATTTCAATCTGAGTCATCATTCTGAGAAAAAGAACCGTAGCCTGAGCCAGATAGATGTCACACATTGTTGCTTGCTATGTAGTACTCAATGGCTGCCACCTATGGGTCATAAATAGAATATACAATGCAAAACTCCTAATCAAACATTTGTGAGCCTACAGTCTATCACTGCTAAATGTGAAAAGATGCACCTTGAGAAAAAGGAGAAAAAACAATCAGATGGTTTTTGCCCTCCAGGACGTTAACAATCTCAATGAGGAAACAATATAAAATATATAGGAATAAAGGACTGCCCCCCCACAAATAAATAAAATAAAAAAATAAAAATAAAAAAAATAAAGAATAAAGGACTGTCTGGGACCTGAAAAAGGGACAGAATTTAAATTAGTACAGAGAGGGGAGGAAACTCAAGATGGAAGGCAGGCATATGAAAGGTACCTTGACCCCAGCAAGTCATGGATTCGGACTCGGGAAACAGTTAACCAGAGCTATAGCCAGGTACCTCTCAGATATGTAGAGAGGGACATACAGCTAGCACAATGTTAATTGATTAGTTTTAGGCTTCTAAATAGTTCCACAGTTATTTGTACCTAAGTTAATTGTAGTTTTCTTCTACCTCAGACTGTCAGTAATAAAAAAGAAGTTGTTGTTTTTGGTTTTTTTGGAGGGGGGGGATACAGTAATGACATCCTAAAGGCTGACAGGATGAAAAATAGCAAGAAGTGCCCTGGCCAGTTTGGCTAAGCGGTTGGAGCATTGGCCTGTGGACCAGAGAGTCCCGAGTTTGATTCCCGCTAGGGGCACGTACCAAAAAAAAAAAATAGCAAGAAGCTAAAGGCATGTTAAGCTGTAGGTCTGCTATTTTAGCATTCTTGATGATAGGGGTGAAAGTGGAGTGGAGAAAACACATAGAAGACAACTAAGTCAAGATGTCTAAATGGGATTCACCAGCTCATATTCCATTAATTACAGAATTCTCAGGCTCTATTCCATGCCATGTTTCACCTGCCTTACAAAAGAAGTCACCTATTGCACCCTACATGCCTAGTGGGAGCCATGGTAGACTCCTAACCTCCCTCCCTAAACTACTGTACAAATAATGTCTGCTCTCCGGCATTTTACCAGATTCTGCCCCAGTTTGTTCATCTGTTGGCTTGAAAAGAGTGATTCAGTCTCTGATTCTATAATGGAATGAATTAACATGCCACTACTTTTTTGAAGTCCAAGGTTAGAAATGGTATCACTTAAAATGTTACTGTTATACTTTGGAACACTACTCCATTATCTTTAGAATTCAATTTCTACATGTTTTCTGGGCCAATCTAGGCCAAGAGTACTGTGGAAAGAGGACAATCAAGACTGAGAAAATAGGAATCATAAAGTTCCCTTCCTTATGTTTCAGTAGGCACTGTCCAAAACAACATTAAAAAAAAATCTGTCTATAATGTTACAAAGATTACTACAATTGCAATAGCAAACTATATTTCCAGCTGAAGAGAAAACAACTGATACCTCTTAAAATAATTTGTCTCTTCACATTCCAACCCTATTTTTTCAATCCTCACCTGAAGATATTTTTCCATTTTTTGTTCAGATAGAGTGGGAGGAAGAGAGAGAGAAACATCGACGTGAAAGGGACACATCGAGTGGCTGCCACCTGCACGACCAACCAGGGCCAGGGACAAACTGCAACTGAGGTACACACCCTTAGCGGGAACTGAACCCCGGTCTCTCTGGACTGCAGGCCAACGCTCTAATCGCTGAGCCAAACCGGCCAGGGCTCCAACCCTTTTTATGCATGCTTTTACACTTCCCAGAACTCTCACGTTGTGCAGGGCCAGTTCCAATGACTGTGGAGGGAATGAAAAAGCAGCAAACACCCCAACCCAGCTTTCAGGGAGCTTCCAATGGAGCACTGAAATGGTAGCTCCTTCAGGCAGCAAGTGTTCAGTCAAGCTATTTAAATAACCCTGAGGTTCAAAAGAAAGAAAAGGAATTCTACCCTTTGCTGTGACTGTAGAAGATTCCTGAAGAAGCTTCTACTGACTTTCTTAAGTCCTTCCTTAAGTTTTGAGTCCCTATAAAGTTTGCCTTCTCCTTTCCATCTTTCAGGATCTCCCTATGTTTGTTTGTTGTATAATATCTAGAGTTTTTTAGTTTAAGAGGGAAGACTAGTGAGGAATGGGGTTATTCCATCTTGGCCCGGCCCCAGCAGTTGGTATCAGTTCATTTTTCTAAATTAATTAATTAATTAATTAATTTAAAACACTCACCCAAGGATACATTTTTATTGATTTTAGAGAGAGAGGAAGGGATAAAAGGAAAGAGAGAGAGAGAGAGAGGGAGAGAAACACTAACATGAAAGAGAAGCATCAATTGGCTGCCTCCTGTACTCATTTTAGATAAATGGAAAAATACATTGGTACATGACCTTTCACAATGACTTTCAGATAACTGGCTATAAAATACAGTGTTCAGCCCTGGCCGGTTTGGTTCAGTGGTTAGAGCGTCGGCCTGCGGTCCTGAGAGACCCGGGTTCAGTTCCCGCTAAGGGCGCGTACCTCGGTTGCAGTTTGTCCCCGGCCCAAGTCGGTTGTGCGGGTGGCAGCCACTCGATGTGTTCCTTTCGCATCGATGTTTCTCTCTCTCTCCCTCCCACTCTACCTGAACAAAGAATGGAAAAATGTCCTCGGGTGAGGATAAAAAAAAAAATAAAAAAAAATACAGTGTTCATCAACAGCCCAAGGACAGAGACCCAGGGGTAAAGGGAATTAATACTATGTCACGCAAGGGAAACAATTTCTCTAACTCACCAGTCCCCAAAGGGAGCCTTCTGAAGTAGCAACAATGGTAGCAGCTCTTGGAGTGTTGTACATCAGAGCTAGTTCTCCAAAACTTCCACGGCTGTCATATTGACCAACACAGCGGGTCTGATTATCTTTTGTTACTAAAATGTCATAAGTTCCCCTGAAAGTATAACAAGAAACAATTTCTTTTATTCATTTTTAAATTGTTTTCTTTATTGATATTAGAGACAGAGAAGAAGAGAGAGGGGGAGAAAGATAGAAACATCGATGACAGGGAACATCAATTGGCTGCCTCCTGCATGCCCCCCACTGGGGATCAAGGCCCCACAACCCGGACATGAGCCTTGACTAGGAATCAAACTGGCAACTTCTTGGTGCATGGGTCAATGCTCTACCACTGAGCCACACCGGCAGGGCAATAATTTCACTTATTAATTCTAACAATAAATTTGAGAACTAGCAGGTGGTACATAAATAGAAGGGAGAAAACATTGTTATAGGCGATTCCCAACAGATTTTTGTATTCTGACTTTGTATTGTATAAATTTGCTAAACGCAGTTATTAGTTCTACTAGCTTTTTAGTAGCACTGTTGAGATCTTCTAGAGGGTCCTGTCATCTGAAAACAAAGAGAGTTTTACTTCTTCCTTTCTGATTAATGTGCTCGCCCACCTGCCCTCTGTCCCTTTTCTCCTTTTCCTTATTGTTTCTTTGCCTTATTGTACTGGCTAGCATCTACATACCATATAAAATAGAAGTGAGAGTAGACATCCTTGTTTTGTTCTCAATCTTAAAGGGAAAAACATTCACTCTTTTACCATTAAGCATGATGTTTGCTGTATTTTTTTTTTCTTTTATTGATTTTAAAGAGAGGGGAAGTGAGAGGGAGAGAGAGATAGAAACATCAATGAGAGAGAACATCAACTGGCTGCCTCCTGCATGTCCCCCAGTGGGGATCGGGTCCACAACCTGGGCATGTGTCCTGGCCAGTTATGTGGCACCAATCCTGCTCTTAAGGGAGCCCACCACTCAATAGAAAAGCTGACCTGTACTAGACGTGGTGGACAAGGCAAAAGTAATGAGGACATGAATGGGAAATAGAATTTCAAATAAATTCACTTATGTGTTTTTAGTCTCTCCTCCAGGAGACACTAGCTACTTAATTTGGGGAATGACAAACCAGTTCAGGCAGTCGTAAAGCAGAGTCTTTCCTAACCTCTCCAACTCAGGTCCTCTTCCAAATAATGGAACATATTTTTATTATTCTTGTTACCACCACATTATGTAATAATTATCTATTTAACGGTCTGTCTCTTCAACAGATGAGTTGTTTGAGGTCAGAAATTTTATCTTTTTACTTCAATGATAGCCTTTCCAATTTGTTAGTAACTACTTTCATAGCATACAAAAGATAATCTCTCTTTTTTACACATGTAACAAATCATTCTGTTTGTAGACAGGTAATTCAACCTTTAAGCTATGGATATGTGCAGGTAGGTGCTTATTTCCCAAACTACAAGTGCTTATTGGGATTCCTGAGTGAGTGGGAGAGAGCACATGGCAAAACAAGGGAAAAAGGTGGCTGCTGGAGGTGGTAATATAACTTAGAAGATAATACTTATATCTTTATTCTTTTAATAAGCCTGGCTGGTATGGCTCAGTGGATTGAGTGTTGTCCCATGGACTGAAAAGTCCTGGTTCCTTTCCTGGCCAGGGTACATGCCCAGGGTTGCGGGCTCGATCCCTGGTAGGGGGTGTGCAAGAGGCAGCTAACTGCCCTGGCTGGTTTGGCTCAGTGGTAGAGCATTGGCCTGCGGTCCAGGGAGGCCCAGGTTCACCAGGTTCAGTTCCCGCTAAGGGCATGTACCTTGGTTGCAGTTTGGGTCGTGCAATTTGCCCTGGTTGGGTCGTGCGGGTGGCAACCACTCGATGTGTCCCTTTCATATCGATGTTTCTCTCTCTCTCCCTCTCCCTCCCCACTCTATCTGAACAAAAAATGGAAAAGTGTCCTCGAGTGAGGATGAAAAAAAAAAAGGCAGCTGATTGATGTTTCTCCCTAACATCGATGTTTCTATCTCTCTCTCCCTTCCTCTCTGTAAAAAAAATCAATATAAACATATTGAAAAAATAAATAAATAAAACCATTTTTTCTATTTGTAACACTTGTCACAGATATCAAGAACCCAAAGGTTATCCAAGGAGTGAGAACGTTTTCTGTTCAAGAATCTGAACAAACAAAGGCTTGACAAGAAAGGGAACCAAATATGCAGTTTGTCCCTGGCCCTGGTTGGGTCATGTGGGTGGCAGCCACTCGATGTGTCCCTTTCACATTGATGTTTCTCTCTCTCTCTTCCTCTCTCTCCTCCTGCTCTGTCTGAATAAAGAATAAAAAAATGTCCTCCGGTGAGGATAAAAAAAAAGAAAGGGAACCAAATGAATCTTGTACCTGACAGATTAAAATAACTGTAGAAATCAAGGAAACAATGGAAAAATTTGAATAAGTCTGTATAGTAGATGACAGTACTGTATAAATGTTAACTTCTGATTTTTATAATTGTTCTGTGCTAATATAAAAGAATGTCCTATTTTTAGGAAATACACAATGAAGTATTCAGTGGTAAAAGGGCATCATACTTGCAACTTACTCTCCAACAATTAATAAAGCAAATGTGGTAACCTGGGGAACCCAGCTAGGTTTATAGAAATTTTCTGTACCATCTATGTAATGTTCCTGTAACTCTGAAATTACTTAAAAACAACAACAACAACTGAAAAATAATGGAAGTTATTGGGTGAGGCAACATCTTAGTGATTTTAAACCCTGGTGAGGATGTTCCTTTCAGGACTTAGAAGGGGTCATAAGGAGTCCCCCAAGAAGTTAGGAGCCGTGGCTCGTTTGTTTCAGTGGTTAGAGCATCGGCCCGTGAACCACGATTGTGGGTTCGATTCTGGTAAAGTGCACATACCTCGGTTGCAGTTCGGTTCCCAGCCCTGGTCAAGGTCGTGCAGGAGGCAACCAATCTATGCAACTCTCTCACATTGATATTTCTCTTTCCCCCTCCCCCCCACTCTTTCTCAAGATAAATGGAAAAATAATCTCAGGTGAGGATTAAAAAAAAAACACAAAAAACAAAAAAGAAGTTAGGACACACTAAGGTGAGTAGGTCAAACCCACGTATTTCATGTTTTCCAACAGTTTATACCTGGAACAGAACCAGAAGGGGCCAGAGGTTGAGGCAGTGTCCTCATGTGTAAGATGAGGCTGGGATTGAAAGATCTGGATGATAACATAGTATCACAGATATTCTTCAGGAAATCCATTCCCTTGAACACTGGCAAATAACATGTTTAAAAAGTTCATCTTGCCTAATTGTAAAGAAGAATTTCTACTCTAGGTAGCGGCAACCCAAATATGGGATGTACTGAGGACTCAGGACAACAGTGGAGAAGGGCAGACTGTGGACAGAGACGGGCAAGCTTTGGGAAGCTTGTTCATCTGCCTACATCCTCTCTGGACTGAACAAAGAGAGTAAAGCACTGTCCTAAATCATGAATCGTATTAAATGTAGCTGTACAATTGCAAAGCTCCATCTCCTACCATTCTATGACATAAAAGTTGTCTCCATCATCTCCTTGGTCAATAACATGCTCATCAACTTTGACTATCCTTTCAAACATGGCATCGAGAACCTCAGAAAGTTGTTCCTGCAGGGAACACAGAAGAAGAAAAGACAGTTTTTACAATTGCTGGGGGGAAAAAATGATTGTGCTTACCTCAGCTTGTGACAAAGTCCCCAAATCAGGCTATTCCTCATATTCAAGCAGAAACCTAAGGGCTGTCTGAAATAAGTGCTTTCCTGTGACCATTCAGCTTTGAACCTCCATGTACACAGCATAGTTGCTAAGTTTTCTGAGGCAGTATTACTTTGAAAAAGTATTAACTTAAGCAAAAAATAGGTATCTAAATCATGGTGCCCATTGTCCCAGCCATACCCACATGAGTGTCACTGGCCCTGATGGTTTCACTATGTCATATGTAAAACCATATGATGCCACCTTCTTATAGGTGTTAATTTAACAGGATCATCAGATCTAAGGGGCTGGGATGACATCAGAAGTTGTATTTTAGAGCAGAACAATCGCTTTGACTAGCCAAGCATACCACTTCACCTCTCTGAACCTTAGTTTTTTTCATAAGTATAAAAGGGCTTAATGAGGAGCTTCTAGCTCATCAATTTTTATGACTAAAGGAGAAAAATCTAACAAAAGTATTACATAACAAGTACTCAGTAAAGGAAATCTGTTATGGCTTCAAATAACACATACAATTACTTACTTGCAAATATTACCTGCTATAACCAGAAGGTAACTGTACTAATAAGTATAATAGAAACAAAACAATGCTATTAAATTCTAACAAAACATTGGTCTCAATCTAGAGCCTCTGTCGGGCAGGGAGATCAATGACTATTAGGGGACATTAAAGAATACCAGCTTTGGTTGGCTGGTGTGACTCAGTAGATTGAGCACCATCCCCCGCACTGAGAGGCCCTGGTTCGATTCCCAGTCAGGGCACATGCCCAGGTTGTGGACTAGTTCCCCAGTAGGGGGCATACAGGAGGCACCTGATGGATGTTTCTCTCTTACATTAATGTTTCTATCTCTCTCCCTTCCTCTCTCTAAAGAATCAATAAAAACATTAAAAGAAAATACCAGCTTCAACTCAAAGAAAGACTTTCTCTTTGGAGGACTGTAGATTGAAAACCTGGCCAGGAAATAATTTAAAAAATTTTTTTGTCTTGACCGGCCAGTGTGATTCAGTGGTTGAGCATCAACCAATGCACCAAGAGGTCGCCGGTTTGACTCCCGGTCAGGGCACATGCCCAGGTTGTGGGCCAAATCTCCAGCGGGGGGGGGGGGGGGGGGGGGGAGGCATGCAGAAGATGGCCAATTGATGTTCTCTCTCATCGATGTTTCTATCTCTCTCTCCCTCTTCCTTCTTCTCTCTCTGAAATGAATAAAGAAAAAATATTTTTAAAAAACCAGAATGCTTAGCCCTGGCCAGTTTGGCTCAGCGGTAGAGCGTCGGCCTGCGGTCCAGAGAGACCCGGGTTCGGTTCCCTCTGGGGGCATGTACCTCGGTTGCGGTTTGTCCCCGGCCCTGGTTGGGTCGTGCAGGTGGCAACCACTCGATGCGTCCCTTTCACGTCTCTCTTTCTCTCCCTCCCCACTCTATCTGAACAAAGAATGGAAAAATGTCCTCAGGTGAGGATAAAAAAAAAACCAGAATGCTTAAAAAAACAAACAGAAAAAAACAGAATGCTTAATGGTGATAAACAATTACGTAACTGGCTTATTTATTTACTATACTATACAAGAATCAACCAAAAAATGCATAAATAAGTGGAACAACAAATCAATGTTTCTATTTCTCTCTCTCTCACTAAAAGAAGAGAAAAAACCAAAAAGCTATAGAGAGCACGGCCTTTGTGGCTCAGTGGACTGAACATCATCTCACTGGTTGAGAGGACCCCGTTTGATTCCCCGTCAGGGCACATGCCTGGGTTGCCTGCTCAATCCCCAGTAGGGGGCATGTAGGAGGCAGCTGATGTTTCTCTCTCACACTAATGATGTTTCTATCTCCCCCTTCCCATCTCTCTAAAAAAATCAATAAAAACGTATTTTTAAAAAGCTATAGAGAACTTTACCGGGAAAATATGAATACAGGCTGTATCTTAGGTAATATTATCACACCAATATTAAATTTCTTGGGTTTAGTAACAGTATTGTATTAATGTACAACGACATCCTTGTTCTTGGAAAATACATCTTACGGTATTTAATGGCTAAGAGTCATGATGTCTTAAATATATTCGTAAGTGGCTATGAACAAAAGGAAAAAGCAGTTTATATATACTTATTTGTGTGTACATATGTACATTAGAGAAAGACTAAATGTGGCAAAAAAAAATGTTAACAGGTCAGTCTAGGTAAAAGGTATGTGAGTGTTCATGGTACCAGTCTTTTGACTGTTTTTTATAAATTTGAAAATTTAAAAACAGAAACTTGGGAAATAAATGTTTAAAAACTGAGACAAATACACTCACCAAAATGGCTAAAATTAAAAAATACATACAATATTAAATTGTAAGGAGCCCGACTGGTGGGGCTCAGTGGATTGACCAGCTGTGGGCCAAATCTCCAATAGGGAGCATGTAGGAGGCAACCAATCGATGTTCTCTCTCACTGATGTTTCTATCTTTCTCTACCTCTCCCTTCCTCTCTCTCTAAAATCAATAAAGAAAAAAAATTTTTTTAAAAAGTGAGAAAAACAGTAAATTTTCATGAAGTGGTAAAGGTTTGTAGTTTAAATAGTATTGTAACAACATTAATTTCCAGGTTTTGATTATTGTACTATGGTTATATAAGATATTAATATTGGGAGAAGCTGGTTGAGGAATATATGTGATCTCTGCACTATTTTTGCAACTTTTTTTTCCCTGAGTTTAAAACTAGTTCAAGCCCTGGCCAGTTTGCTCAGTATTTAGAGCGTCAGCCCATGGACCAGAGAGTCCCGGGTTCAGTTCCTGCTAAGGGCACGTATCTTGGTTGCAGTTTATCCCTGGCCCTGGTTGGGGTCGTGTGGGTGGCAACCAGTTGATGTGTCTCTCTCACATCGATGTTTCTCTCTCTCTCTCTCTCTTCCCCCCTCTCTTCCTCCTGCTCTATCTGAAGATAAATGCAAAAAAAAAACCTAGTTCAAAATAAAAAGTGAAAAAAGAATGAACTACAAATATATGTAACAACATGGATGAATCTCAGAAACACTATGCAGAGTAAAAGAAGTCTCACACAAAAGAGTACATACTGTGTGATTCCATTTGTATGAAATTCTAGAATAGGCAAATTAATTTACTGTAGAATAAATCAAAACAGTAGTTGCTCTGGGGGAATTGATCATGAAGGGACATGAGGGAGCTTTCTGGAGTGGTGGCAATGTTCTGTATCTTGACAGGGGTTTGGATTATCTAAGTATAAACTTTGGTCAAACGTCAGTGAATTCACACTTAAAATTTGTACATTTCATTGTATGCAAACTTTACATCAAAAAATTATAAACAGCCCAGCTGGTGTGGCTCAGTGGTTGAGCATTGACCCATGCACCAAGAGGTCACCAGTATGATTCCCGGTCAGAGCACATGCCCAGGTGGGTTATGGGCCAAATCCCCAGTGGGGAGCATACAGGAGGCAGCCAACTGATGTTCTATCTCATTGATATTTCTGTCTCTATCCCTCTCCCTTCCTCTCTCTCTCTGAGTCAATAAAGATAAAACATTTTTTTAAATATAAAATTATAGCCCTGGCTGGTTTGGCTCAGCGGTTGGAGTGTCAGCCCACGGACCAGAGAGGCCCAGGTCGGTTACTGTTAAGGGCACATACCTCGGTTGCAGTTTATCCCCAGCCCTGGTTGGGTGTGTCTCTCTAACATCGATGTTTCTCTCTCTCTCTCTCTCTCTTCCTCCCTTTCTCCCTCCTGCTCTATCTGAAGATAAATGCAAAAATGTCCTCAGGTAAGGATTAAATAAATAAATAAATATTATAAACAAATATTGAGCTCTAGTTCATGACATGCATGCCAAGTATTTAAGGGAAAGAATACTGATACCTGCAATTTACTCTGAAATATACTGCCTAAAATAAAACAGCTGCCTGTTTTTATAAATAATATTTTATTGGAACACAGCCGCACCCTTTCATTAATCTATTGTCTATGGCTGCTTTCCTGCTACAATAACAGAGATGAGTAGTTGTGATGGAAATATTTACTATCTGGTTCTTTTTTTAAAAAATGTTTCATTGATTTTTTTTTTAGCCAGAGAGATAGAAACATAGATGTGAGAAACATCAATCAGCTGTGTCCTGCACGCCACCTACTGGGAATTGAGCCTGCAACCAGAGCATGTGCCCTGACTGGGAATCACTCTGGACCTCTCAGTCCATGGGATGACCCTCAATCCACTGAGCCACACCAGCCAGGCACTATCTGGTTCTTTAAGAAGTTTGCCATTCCCTTAGCTGAGGGATGGGTAGATGGATATAACACAGCAAGCATAGTAAATGTTAATCAAAGGAGTGATTAAATGCGTGTTCTATAAAATTCTGTCAACTCAGTTGTATTTGAATATTTTCAAGTTAAAAATCTTAGAAAAATATAATTAAATCTGAAAATTCAGTTATCATTTTTCAACGCTAAAATGGTATTCTCCAACATTTAAAAAAACTTTGAATATTAAATTGACAAAGCAACTTTGTTTAGAATATCTGATGGTATTAAGGGGTTTTATTCATAGTGGATAAAGAAGCAATTCCTCTTTCCATTGATACAGATGGGTCTTCCAGAGAAAACAGCTGACACTGACCAGTATTTCTCACAACCAGTCTTTCCGTGAGCTTATGGTTTTTGTTTATTTTATTCAGCCTGAGACGAATAAAACTCTGATTAATGTTCTGGATATTTCTAGAACCACACAGCTAGCCAAAAGATTGGTTTACCAGGGATGATTCATTCCCTTGACTGATATTTCACAGATTCATGTATAACCAGCCAGATTCCCAGGGAGGGCTGTGGGAATGTCTTCAGAAGACTTATATGCAGAAGCTGGGTAGTGGAATTCTAATCCCATCCTTTCTGTGTTTGCACACTCAGAGGTTCCCCAGTAGACTCAGCACCTCAACCATTTATGTGGCTTCAGTGTGTGGCCCTCAAAGTAAAGAAGACACAGGAAAATTGAAGATTCTTTGTCTTTAGGAGGTAGTCCTTGCTCTCTATCTCCACCAAGAGAGGAAGACAAGCCCATGTAGCCCATGCTGGGACTCTGCAGACAAACACCACTCTGTGTGCGCCCCATTCCTGAGGTCTTTATTGAGAAGTAATCCCAAGAGATGCCTCACACCTAAGGTCTGAGAAGAAGACACAAACATTTCCAGTAGGTTAACAGACACAGATGAAAAGAACTCTATACTGGTACCTTTGGAGAAATGATCCTGCAGCATAAAACTAAGCCATGGTCATGCAAACCTGAGCATTTCCTTTTTACATGACCAAAGTACATGGTCCTCAAACGGTACTGTCTTGAAGGAAGTGTCACAGCAGTTCTGAGAAATACTAAAAGTCATCTGAAAAGCTCATTATGGTTATGGTGGTCAACACAATGCAAACATTTGTAAGTAAGATGAATCTAAAGTTTTATGCCTCATATAGCTGTGGCTAAGACACTAAAAACTGTTTAAATGACAAACAGGAAAAAAGGTGAAGACAAAAATTTTTTTAAATCAATGTTACCTGATCAAGATTTTTGAAAAGGAGAATATCTTTGCAAGCTTCCTGAAGTCTACATCTCTGTTCATCAGTTTTGGGATGAATCACCTGCCAATACAAATAAAGCCAAGGAGATTTTAAATTCCATTTTAAAATCAAACTTTACTTACAAATTAGTATATTTCTCTCTCTAAAATAGGAGAAATATTAAGAGCATGTTTACTATAATTTTAATTCTATACGTATATCAAGCAGTGCCCTGATTGTGAAGGGTAATATGATAGTGGGTAAAGAGTACCCTGGTGGGTACCCTGGTGCCACCCAGTGGCTATGTAGCTGCCAGCAAGTCAGTTACCCAACTGGGAGCCTTGGAATCCTCATTGGCAAAGCAGAGGGTTACAGAGTTGTTCATTCAACAAATATTAGGCACCTATTAGGAGCCAGGCACTGGCCTACCTCTGGGGACATAGTAGTGAACACATAAACAGAAACATCTGCTCTCATGTTCAATAAATACATAAAAATATGTTAGAGTGAGTGACAAGGCTAAGGAGAAAAATAAGGTAGAGAAGGGTGATAAAAAACATAGTGTGTCTGTATGTGTCCAGATTTGGCCTGAGATGACATTTGTGTAAAGATCTTTATTATTTTTATTTTTATTTTATTTATTTTTATCCTCACCCGAGGACACTTTTTCATTCTTTGTTCAGATAGAGCAGGAGGGAGAGAGAGAGAGAAACATCGATGTGAAAGGGACACATCGAGTGGCTGCCACCAGCACGACCAACCAGGGCCGGGGACAAACTGCAACCGAGGTACATGCCCTTAGCGGGAACCGAACCCGGGTCTCTCCGGACCTCAGGCCAACGCTCTAACCGCTGAGCCAAACCGGCCAGGTCTGTGTAAAGATGTTTAAAAAGTGAGGTTAGGCCTGGCCGGATTGGCCCAGCGGTTAGAGCGTTGGCCTGTGGTCCAGAGAGACCCGGGTTCGGTTCCCGCTAAGAGCATGTACCTCGGTTGCAGTTTGTCCCTGGCCCTGGTTGGGTCGTGCGGGTGGCGGCCACTCGATGTGTCCCTTTCTTTTTTTTTTATCCTCACCCGAGGACATTTTTCCATTTTTTGTTCAGACAGAGCAGGAGAAAGAGAGAGGAAGAGAGAGAGAAAGAAAAACATCGACGTGAAAGGGATACATTGAGTGGGTGCCACCCGCACGACCAACCAGGGCCGGGGACAAACTGCAACCAAGGTACATGCCTTTAGCGGGAACTGAACCCGGGTCTCTCTGGACTGCAGGCCGACGCTCTAACTGCTGAGCCAAACCAGCCAGGGCACGATGTGTCCCTTTCACGTCAATGTTTCTCTCTCTCTCTCTTTTCCTCTCTCTCCCTCCCTCTCTATCTGACCAAAAAAATGGAAAAATGTCCTCAGGTGAGGATAAAAAAAAAAAGTGAGGATAGTCTGGCCGGTGTGGCTAAGGACTGAGAGCTGTCTCATGGACTGAGAGGTCCTGGTTTGATTCCCGGTCAGGCTCATGCCTGGGTTGCGGGTTCAATCTCCAAAAGGGGGCGTGCAGGAGGCAGCCTATAGATGTTTCTCTCTGACATCAACATTTCTATCTCTCTCGCTAAGAAAATAAAAACATATTTTTTTTAAAAAGTGAGGACAGGCTGTGGCCAGTTTAGTTCAGCAGTTAGAGCACTGGCCCGTGGACCAGAGAGTCGTGGGTTCAATTCTGGTCAAGGGCATGTACCTCAGTTGCATTTCGGTTCCTGGCCCTGGTTGGGGTCATGCAGGAGGCAACCAGTGGATGTGTCTCTGTCACATTGATGTTTCTCTCTCTCTCTCCCTCCCTCCCACTCTAAATGGAAAAATATCCTCTGGTGAGGATTAAAAGAAAAAAAAAAAAAAAAAGTGAGGACAGCCCTGGCTAGTTTTGCTCAGTGGTTAGAGTGTCGGACTGAAGACCAGAGTCGCAGGTTCACTCTGGCCGGTTTGGCTCAGCGGTTAGAGTGTCGGCCTACAAACCAGAGAGTCCCGGGTTCGGTTCCCACTAAGGGCACATACCTCAGTTGCACTTTGTCCCCGGCCCTGGTTGGTGGCAACCAGTTGATGTGTCTCTCTCACATCGATGTTTCTCTCTCTCTCTTCCCCCTTCTCTCCCTCCTGCTCTATCTGAAGATAAATGCAAAAATGTCCTCGGATGAGGATAATAAATAAAATACAACCACTTAAAAAAAAAAAAAAAAAAAGAATCTCAGGTTTGATTCTGGTTAAGGGCACATACCTCGGTTGTGGTTCGGTCCCTGGCCCTGGTCAGGGTTGTGTGGGAGGCAACCAATACATGTGTCTCTCTCATGTCGATATTTCTGTCTCTCTCCCATTCTATTTGAAGATAAAAATAGAAAAAAGCATCCTCAGGTGAGGATTAAAAAAAGTGTTAAGCATTTTGAAATTGTGATATTAAAAAGTTAGTAAAAAACCAATTTAACTTTATTTTTATTGGTTTTAGAGAGAGAGGAAGTGAGAAAGAAGAGAGAGAAACACTGATTTGTTGTTTCACTTATACACTCACTAGTTGATTCCTGTAGGTGCCCTGACCAGAGATCAAACCCACAACTTTGGCATATAGGGACGATGCTCTAAACAATTGAGCCAACTGGCCAGGGCAATTTAACTCTTTTTTTTTTTTTATCCTCACCCGAGAACATTTTTCCACTTTTTGTTGAGATAGAACGGGAGAGAGAGAGAGGAAGAGAGAGAGAGAAACACTGACATGAAAGGGACACATCGAGTGGTTGCCATCCACATGACCCAACCAGGGCCAGGGACAAACTGCAACTGAGGTACATGCCCTCAGCGGGAACCAAACCCGGGTCTCCCTGGACCACAGGCTGACGCTCTAACCGCTGAGCCAAACTGGCCAGGGCCAGGGCAATTTAACTCTTAAAAGTCATCAGGAATTTCACAATATCCAGAGTAAAAATACTTAAAAATCTACGTGTCTATTATATTCACACAATGGTAGCATTTTATTATTAGAATACTTCAGAAATCTTTCATAGGCTATTCATTTGAAGGCATACTTGAAAGATCATTAAAGTTTCTTTTATAACACAATCTTTAAAAACTGATGCTTCATAATTTGTTATAGAAGTACTTTGTTAACTGTATAAGAATTTAAAAACCCCAATTTTTAAAAAGCACCCAAAAGTCCTCCCACAACCACTGTTAACATCTGGGATATATCCTTCCAGATATAATTGTATGAATAAATAAATAAACGGTACAAAAAAACGAACAGATTGCTATTACAACGCTGTAATGATCTCCATTTGTACATCCTTAGGAAGGATCCAACTGTTTGTTAGGAATGAATTCTCCTTTAGGTAATTGCTAAATTAGTTGTCCTGACTATGTTTAAGGCTTTGACAGCTATAGCTAGGTTCCCCTTCTTACCAATACCTCAACTAATCTTGCTTTCATTCTTCTACTTTTTTTTCCATCTTATTTTTCAATTACAGTTTACATTCAATATTATTTTATATTAGTTTAAGGTATATCATTCTTCATACCATTTGTCAATCTGTTAGATAAAAATAGCATCTTGTTGAGATTTTAATTTGTATTAATTTTAATTATCAGCATGCTTAGATGTGGTGTATAAAGGAGTAGGGGAGTAAGAGGGGAAATAAAACAATTCTACCTAGTACCCTTTGCTGTACTTCTTACCCTTGGATCAGTATCTTCCTCTTCCTCATCAGGGTTATAGGACTCAGCACAAACTAAATTGGGAGAGAAAAAAATAAGGAGAAAAATGAATAAAACAGATGTGTGCTTTCACTTCAAAAATAGGAAGTGAACACAATTTCCTTTTATTTACTGTTTGCAAAAACTGGAATAATTTTTTATTTTTATTTTTTAATATGATTTTATATTGATTTTTTTTTCTTAGAGAGAGAGAGAGAAAGGGCAAGAGATAGAAACATTGATGTGAGAAACATTGATCAGCTGTCTCCTGCACCCCCCTACTGGGGATCCAGCCCACAACCTGGCCATGTGCCCTGACCGGAAATCAAACCAGGACCTCTCAGTCCATGGGACGAGGCTCAATCCACTGAGGCACACCTGAGCCACACCGGCTGGGCTGTAATGATTTTTTTTGTTTTAATCCTCACGTGAGGACATTTTTCCATTTTTTGTTCAGATAGAGTGGGAAGGAGAGAGAGGATGAGAGAGAGAAACATTGACATGAAAGGGACACATCTAGTAGCTGCCTCCCTCACGACCCCAACCAGGGCTAGGGATGAATTGCAACTGAGGTACATGCCCTTGGCCAGAATCGAACCCACGACTCACTGGTCTGAAGGCTGACACTCTGAGCCAAACCGGCCAGGGCTGTAATGATTTTTTAAATCCCTTCTTTTAATTAAAAAATGTATTAAAAGCACCTACTAATGCCAGGCATTCTCTTAGGTATGAAAAGCCAGCTCTCTAGGAATTGGTAATTCCAAATAGGAAAGAGATGATAAAATACAGAGTAGGGCAAAAGGAGGTTTACAGTTATTTGTATGAAAATACGATAATTAATAAATAATAATACAGGAATAAACTGTTTTGCATACTTACAACTAAAAACTTACTTTTGCCCCACCATGTATATCAGCTACTAAATCCTATGGTAGTGGCAAGGATAAGCAAGGAGGTTCTGTCTCTGCTGAGTTATGAAGCAGGGGTGGAAAACCACAAAGTACAATATATGTAATATCAACATATGGATATGGAGCAATTATGAATAGAACCAATTAAAGCAGCTCACCATCATTATGTACATGAATGACTTAAAAAATAAGAATGAACCATAAGGTCTATAAAAAAATAATAAAAGCCCTGGCCGGTTTGGCTCAGCGGTTATAGCATCCGCCTGCGGTCCTGAGAGACCCGGGTTCGGTTCCCGCTAAGGGCACGTACCTCGGTTGCAGTTTGTCCCCGGCCCTGGTTGGTCGTGCGGGTGGCAGCCACTCGATGTGTCCCTTTCACATCGATGTTTCCCTCTCTCTCTCTTCCTCTCTCTCCCTCTCACTCTATCTGTACAAAAAATGGAAAAATGTCCTCGGATGAGGATTAAAAAGAAAAAATAAATAAATAAATAAATAAAGAGTGAAAAAAAAAAAAATAATAATAATAAAATAAGAATGAACCCCAGCCAGGTGGCTCAGTTGGCGCATCATCCAATACACCAAAGTGGCTGCAGGTTCAACTCCCAGTCGGGCACATACCTAGATTTCAGGTAATCCCCAGTAGAAGCTCGTATGAAAGGCAACCAATCAATGCTTCTCTCTCACATCGATGTTCTGTCTCTCTCTCTCTCTCAAAATCAATAAACATATCCTTGGATGAGGATTAAAAAAAAAAAGAATTTTAGACAAAGTAAATACTATGTGTCATGCTCTGTTCTAGGTACATTATATAAATCTAAACCATCTTGATTTTCTTTGTAGGTAACTCAGTTACCTGAAGGACTTGTCTTTGTCATAACTCAAAGATTTAAAAAATATTTACTGAGCAACTGTTTATGATAGCAAAATATTAGAAATGATGTAAGTACCCATTTGAAAAATAAAGCTATAAACAAAGAATGAGGAAGATCACCACAGGCTAATAGATAGTGAGGTCTAGGAAAAAAAGCAAAGTGAAGAGTATATATAGTATGTCATCCCTTCCATAAGAAAGGACTTCCATGGGAAAGTAAGAGAACTAAGAACGGGGCAGGGGGTGGGATAGAAAATAAACATATAAATTTGAGTGTGTATATACACACACACACTCACAATTTAAAAACATTTTTTTTTTCCAAAACAAAACAAGAGAAGGATAAACCAGAAAGTAGAAACAAAAAAATGAAGGTATAGGGAAAGGAATAAAATTTCTCCAAGAAAATTCTTTTATATAAGTTTTGACATTTACATCATATAAAATGTTTTATATATTTAAAAACTAGCCCTGGCCAGTTTGGCTCAGTGGTTGGAGCGTCGGCCTGCGGACCAGAGAGTCCCGGGTTCGTTTTCCACTAGGGGCACATACCAAGAAAAAAAAACACACACAAAAAAAACTAGCCCTGGCCTGGCTGGTGTGGATCAGTGGTTGAGCATCGACCCATGCATTAAGAGGTCACCAGTTCGGCCCTGGCCGGTTTGGCTCAGCGGTTAGAGGGTTGGCCTGTGGACCGGAGAGTCCCGGGTTCGGTTCCCGCTAAGGGCATATACCTTGGTTGCAGTTTGTCCCCGGCCCTGGTTGGTCATGCGGGTGGCAGCCACTCGATGTGTCCCTTTCACATCGATGTCTCTCTCTCTCTCTCTCTCTTTCTCCCTCTCTCCCTCCTGCTCTATCTGAAGATAAATGCAAGGGTGTCCTCGGGTGAGGATTAAAAAAAAAAAAGAGGTCACCAGTTCGATTCCTGGTCAGGGCACATGCCCAGGTTGTGGGCCAAATCCCCAGTGGGGGGCATGCAGGAGGCAGCCAATTGATGTTTTCTCTCATCAATGTTTCTGTCTCTCTCCCTCTCACTTCCTCTCTCTCTGAAATCAATAAAGAAAAAAAAATTTAAAACTAGCCCTGGCTCACGTGGCTCAATGGTTAGGGAAGCGTCAGCCTGAGAATCAGAGGGTTGAGGATTCAATTCCTGGTCAAGGGCACATACCTGGTTGCAGGTTTGATCCTGGGCCCCAGTAGTGTGGGAGGTAACCAATCAATGTGTCTCTCTCCCATCAATGTTTTTTTCTTTCTCTTTCCCTCCCTCCATCCCTTGCACTACATCTAAAAATCAATGGGAAAATATCCTTAGGGAGGATTAACAAAACAAAACAAAACAAAACAAAACAAAACAAAACAAAACAGTCCAGCCGGTGTGGCTCAGTGGTTGAGCGCCAACCCATGCACCAAGAGGTCGCCGGTTCGATTCCCAGTCAAGGTACATGCCCATGTTGTGGACCAAATCCCCAGTGGGGGGCATGCAGGAGGTGGCCAATTGATGTTCTGTCTCATGATGTTTCTATCTCTCTCTCTCCCTCTCCCTTCCTCTCTAAAATCCATAAAAAACAAACAAACAAACAAAACCCCTAAATTAAATGGATAAGGATGAAAGGAGTTTACAACTGAATACAGAGAAACAAATTAACCTAACTACATGTCAGGCTGATAACCACAGAGAAGAAAAGGAGGATTATTTTAAGTAACTTCTAACCATGGCACTCTGACCATCTACCCTCAGTAGGATATATTCCAAGGACAAGAAAGAAATGTTGTAGCCCTGGCCAGTATGCTCAGTGGTTAGAGCATCGGTCCTCGAACCAAAAAGTCACAAGTTCGATCCCAGTCAAGGGTACGTACCTTAGTTACAGTTCGTCCCTGACCCTGGTCGGGGTCATGCGGGAGGTAACCAGTTGATGTGTCCCTCTCACATCAATGTTTCTCTCTCTCTCCTCTCTCTTCCTCCCTCCCACTCTATCTGAAGATAAACGAAAAATATCCTTGGGTGAGGATTCAAAAAAAAAAAATGTTGAGCCCAGCCAGTGTGGCTCTGTGGTTGAGCATCGACCCATGCACCAAGAGGTCGCCAGTTCAATCCCTGGTCAGGGCACATACCCAGGTTGTGGGCCAAATCCCCCGTGAAGGGCATGCAGGAGGCGGCCAATCAATGTTTCTCTCCCTCTCCCCCTCTCCCCTCTTCTCTTTCTAAAATCAAAAAAGAAAAAAAACTTAAAAAAGAACTGCTGTTGGCAGTGGTAAAGCAATTCCAAAACTCTTCTTTGTGTATTATAGTAGAGAGTAAATAAGTAAACAGATGTTTTCACTTGAAAGGAGGAGGATACAAATATGAAACAGAAAGATTAGTAAAGATTAATCTGATACTTGAGTTAGTGGCAAAGTAACAATGTATTACCTAGTGAATGAAAAAGTTAGTTAATTCATGAACAAAACTGTTCTGCCAGAAATAATCTAGATGTGATCACATTCAGGTTTGCCCAAAATGCAGCAAACCTTTTCCTTCTTTACAACACAAGATAAATTTCTCTTTAAAAAAAATTTTTTTTTCCTTTATTGATTTTAGAGAGAAAGAAAGTGAGAGGGAGAGAGAGAGAAACACCGATGAGAGAGAACATCGATTGGCTGCCTCCTGCATGTCCCCCACTGGGGATTGGGCCCACAACCTGGGCATGTGCCCTGACCTGGAATCGAACTGGCGACCTCTTGGTGCATGGTTGATGCTCAACCACTGAGCCACACCGGCCAGGCTCTCTCTCTCTTTTTAAAAAAATATATTTTTATTGATTTTTCTAGAGAGAAGGGGGAGGGAGAGAAACATCGATGTAAGAGAGAAACATTGATGGGCTGCCTCTTGCACGCCCCCTACTGGGGATCAAGCCTGCAACCCAGGTATGTGCCCTGACCAGGAATTGAACCAGGACCTCTCACAGTCCATGGAGTGACACTCAATCCACTGAGCCACACCAGCCAGGTGGGAAATAGCTGTATGGCCTGGAGTAATTTCCCACAAACCTCCACCTTCTCTTCTGCATAATGGAGCTAATAGTAGTGATTCCCCTCGAGGACTGTCATAAGGATTCAAGCAGGCAAGATGTCTGGCAACAGTAAAAATGCAGTAAGTGCCAACTCTTTGAACTATAACTATTATCACTTCTGTTCTGTTTGTTTTGGTTTTCAAGAATATTAGTTATTATTATCTTGGTTCTATTCTCTGTCTCAGCTCTTTTTTTTTTTTTTT